ACACACAGATTTGTGGCAAAACAATCAACGGCCTAATTTTGAATACTTCTGCAAATGCAGACTGCATTGGAATCGCACGTTCTCCGCGCGCAAATATTGTTGTCCATCTCTTTTGCAAGCACGGAAATGAGGCTAGCCTCAATTTTGTCTTTTTTCAACTCATACCGCTTATGAGTGTATTGCAGGTTGCTTGCCTATTAACGATATGATTTCTATATCCGCTGTAGAGGCAAGCTCCGAGTTTGCCTCATTCGCGTCACAAAATACATGTTGTGTCGAGTGTTTCAGCGCGCTGTTTAATTAAGGGAGCAACGAGTACCTACTGAGATAAAAATAAGAATATAATTTTCCATATTTATTTTTAAACTTTTAGAAAAAAGACACAAATTATTGGCCGAAATGTGTCGTTGAAAATAGTAAAAATCCTAATAAGGTGTAAAATTCATTGGTGAGGCACTGCCTCACCTGCCTCATAGGACAAGCCGCCCCTGAGTACAACATCTAGTTGTCTGTGTTAAAATGAAAGAGAACGATATAAAAATTAAACTTTCATGATTAATACTCCTTAAGACAATTGAGTTTTTGTTTTTTATAGGAAGAAATCTAATAGTTGTCAAGTTTTTATTTTATCTAAACGAAACAATTAAATCTGTCGGTAGTCGTTTTTAACCTTGTTTTCAAATGCAACATTCTGTACTTTTCTACTTCTCGAGCGGAGCGTAAGCTAATCGAGTTCATTGGGCGAATTGCCACTTTCATATTTTCTTGACGTGTCATGACCTCTGGAGTACGAAAAACGTGGTCTTCAGTTTCCGTCGCTCTGTCTGGTGTCTGTATGCATTTATATTAGACAGGTAATCTCCGTAAGTACCGGCCCGATTGTTGTAAAATTTTATATATAGGTAGATATAAATATTAGGAATATGCTGTAGACGGTTAAAGGCTAACTAAAATTTGGCTGATCATCCCCACTACCAATAGGATGACGTCATATCCAAAATTAATAATAGTATTTTTTTTTATTTTATGAATCCGTGTTGAGTTTTCACCCTAGACATCCAGACTTTGGGAAAAAAATCAAAATTGTATACAAATAGCTTGCAATTAATTCTGAATCTGTAAAACCGCACGTTTTGAAATCTTGCAGACATTTTAAAGTTATCGTGAGCATAGCAAATTTATGATCAAAATATATTTGTTTATTCCTCCCAAAAAATTGATCACGTCAGTTCAAAATTTTGTCGAATAAATTCTATTTAAAATGTGCAAAGTATGATGAATATATACTTGTGATTTATCATTCCGGTCATATTTTTTAGAATTGTTTATAGGTACAAGCTGACTAAAAAAAATTATGAAAGGGTCAATTTATATTATCGATTAATTAAGGACGTCATCATAAAATTTTGTAAAGGAAACTCATTTGAAACATACGCGTAGCACGCTTTTTTACATTTACATTAACATTACACACATGTCTTTATCTTAACTTATAGGGGTTCTCTTAAAAAAAAAAATTCACAAAGTCAAATTTATAATTTTTCGAAGAGATTGGAAATGTTTATTTTGTACTTTAGGGGCCAGAGAAGTTCTATCAAAGTAACCTACGACCAATTTTTTAAAACATTTCTATTTTAAGCTTTGACGTTGATCCAGATCAGTTTGATTTTTTATTTTATTATTTTTTTCTTTCGCATAAAAAACGAACAAAAATAATCAAAACGTAACTATATGAAGTCTCTAAAATAAAAACCGAGCTTATCTGTTGTTTTACTACATACGTAGTATACACTTCTATAAATTAAGTACATACAAATATCTCAAGCTCCAACAAACTATTTTGTTGTAAGTTATAAAAAGAGATTAATTTTTGACTGAAACTTTTGAAAAAATTGATCTAGAATTATTTAGACACAACTTCCATCATCCCTGAAGTAGTAGAATTCAACGTATCTAGTTTTTTTTTAAAATGATGAAATTTTATTATGTCTTCTTCTATGAAGTTAAAATAAAAGTATGTGTATAGTGTTAAAGCAAAAGTAAAGAAGTGTGGTATGTGTATGATTCAAGTGAGTTTTCCTATTAAAAATTTTTAAGATGACGTCATTAATTTTGTGAGGGATAAACGGAGAAATTTTAATTAACGACTTACCATGCTTACAAAAACTTTCAAACGTTTATACGAATTCAGAGCATTCGTTAGATTATTATTTATTGTAAAATATTGTTATAAAATTTTGATTTTTTTTTTTTCAAAAATTTGGGTATCTAGGTAAAAATCACGACGCATTCAGAAACTACAAGTGTAGCAGAACGTTATTTTATTAAATTTAAATAAAATTTACTGTTCAAAATTTTGAGGTAACGTCGTCACACTATTAATAGGGACGATTAAACAAATTTAGCTTAGCGTTTTACAACTACACAATATTCCTAAAATATACATGAAATATCGAGAAAACATGAAAGTAGTTTTACGCTCAGGAATTAGTAAGGAAAAGATTGATTGAAATCTAAGAGTTTTTGTAGAAAAAAGGTATACCTTTCAAAGATGGAGGTTTGGAATTTTGTACAAAAATTTTCATCATCCTGTCTTAAGATAAGCATAAAAATTGAACAAATTTACATTTATTTATAACTAATGATTAAATTTGCAAATTGCTATTCCTCTCATGTTTATCTAATAATAAAACATCCTGTATTTTACATTTTTGAATTGTTTCGAAGAAAGCTTCCTTTCCATACTAAATTTATTAGAGCTTTAATTAAAACTAAATAACAGAAGTCTAGTACCTCTATTTTTATTACTTGACAGTATTTTAACCATTTACTTTGATACTTAAACATTTTTCAAACTTCAATTGTTAAAGTCGTCAAGTGTATCGTTGCTGTATAAAGCTGTACATTCACCTTACAAGTTCTAAAACGAATCTTAATTTGACATTAGCTTGATTTTAGTAACAAATAACACATCTGTTTACCTACATCGGTGTTTCTTTGCTAAAACCCTTAATAAATACATCAAGAAACTTTTTATTACATTCCTTTAAAATTACAAAAAACAACAAACTTACTTTTCAAGCCCCTAGAAGAGAGCTTTCTTCCCACGCAATTTATTTAATCGACACGGTGTGTTTAAAAAGGGTCTTCACGATTTTACCTTGACTGACAGCAAAAGAATGAGATCGATGGGGCTTTTCACCAACATAGCAGCCTTTTTTGTAGGAATTATCGCAAAATATAAGAAGCGAAAGAAAGTTTTGGCCAAAGTAAGTAGTAAAACAGAAAATTGGATCAGCCTTGCGTGGATGGTGCACAAAGTAAACAGGTATAAAAAATCTACACGTAACAAATCGGTAGCAGGTACATGTATTGCGAGTTCAAACCATATCTAATTTAGATGTCATTTTAATTTGTCGTGATACTGTGTGGTAAAAGGACTTTATACGAAAAAAAAATATACGGTTGATTGTGTATCAAGGCAAGTGTGATAAAAAAACTACACAATAAACACAATTTCTATGAAATGTGAAAGTACATTTCTGTGCCGATTTCAGTAAAATCATATTTTTATTAAATAGAGCATTTAACAATTTTAATAATGTTCACCCTAACCATTCACTGTGCATGTTTTTGTTGTAATGAATGATTTTATGTGGATTATAAATGTCATGTACATGATTTAAATTACACTTAGGGCATTATAATAAATATTAACACTGCACAGATACAGCTTTATGAACATCTGCAACTGCTGGTGGCTAATGCAGAAATGGTCAATCAGTTTTGTTTACTTTCATGCTGTGTGATTCCATCTATGTTATTGAAATTTACCTACAGCGGTGTACAAATAAATGATATTTGTAACTAAAACTATCAAATGCACGGGTTATTAAAACAATGAATGGTTTTAATTTGAGAGATAAAATCCACGGCTAAATTTCCCCACTTGTTAAAATGACCCATCATCCAGGTAGGTATCTGCTGGTAAGACATTCCCAAGGGGCAATTTAAGGTCTAAATCTTTTTAGGGGATGCTTTACGGATAACATGATTTATTGCACATGAAATTGCGTGAAATTTTATATAATAGGCGATTTCATGGCAAGGGGACGATTTAAATGGTCTTTTATGATTTATATTGATTGTGAATATCTATGTGGGAAGTAAATAACCACAAAAAATACATTGTGGGTTGAATGTGGACCATAAGTATCTGTCGGATTAATTATATATAGTATCGACGTCGTAAAAACCTTATAATTACGAATGTCGTCCAGAATATCAATTTGTCACGTCTAACGCACTTTGAAAGTAATCAATCAAAATGTGGAAAATCACTGTTATCCTCACATACATGTGATAACGATTTTTTCAACTCAAGGCCATCGTTAAAGAATATTTTCGCTGATGCACATAGTTTTATCGTATTTATTAAAAAAATATTTATAAGATCCCATTTTCGAAATGTCATTCAGGTTAATGGTGTATAGACCTATTTATTAGTCATTTTCTGCTTGTTTTGCTAAATGTCGAAAAATTAAATATAAACTTTATGTAACAACATCAATAACAACTAAATAAATAAAAAACATATACATACTCAGTTTTTTAGTGTTTTACATAGGTACAGGTTACCACAACCCAACGAAATAAGGAATACGATTTAGATTAGTTTAGATTATTGTAATAATTTTAGATTTTTTTTATTTTTTAAAATCACAGTACTTAGTAAGAAAACTGGGACGTAGAATAATCCAGAGTAGAGTACTGGTACAAAATCTCCACATGCAGTAAACATAATGACAACAAAATTTTTGTACAAGATAAGTTAGAAGATTCACCTCTGATTTTAATATTTTAGTGTTTAGTGTTAAAGTAAACATTTTTATGTTATTTACTTTCAAGATTTTTTTTAAATGTACGTGGCGCCATCTTGATACCGGTAGTCTGGGCAACAAAACACAAACATTAACGTCAGTTGGCACTCTATCCACTGGCTGCACTTGCCACAACCACAAACGTCAAACGTCAACTTGTCAAATACCCTAACCTAATTATGTGACAAAAAATAATAATAAATAAAGAGGAAATAACAATAATAAACCATAAAATGGACAAACCAGCTGACCTCGACGGTAAATACCAAAAACTAGCCGCAGAATATTCAAAAGTACGTGAACTTTTAAACAATTTTTGGAGGGCGTAGCCGCTCATTATCAATGTTAATTTTGTAGGTGAGATCACAAGCGACAGTACTCAAAAAAGCGCTTTTAGACGAGCAGGCAAAAAACAATGAATTAAAGGACACGGTAAAAAAGCACGAGCAGAAAGTACGGAAACATGATCAAGAAATGGAAAGTCTGACTTTTCGAAATGAGCAACTCACAAAACGGATTTCGGTTTTACAGCAGGAACTCCAAGTGAACAGTCATGCAAAGAAAAGCAAAAATAAAAATGCAGAAAGTATAATTCAGTCTGATACAAGTGTCTTGAATGAAGAATTTCATAAAAAAATTCTCGAAAATGCGGAACTAGTCAGCAGTGTAAAGTAGTCAGGTTTATTATCGTTCATTATTTAATATTCAGAATTACAGATGGCTGATAAAGACTACGAACTAAGCGACTGCAAGGAGCGGATAGCGTGGTTAGAGAAAAAATTAAATAATGTTGAAAAGGAACTTCAAGAAAAAGAATCAAAATATTTGGATGAAATAACAAAACTCAAGAAAGGCAAATTTGAAGCTGAGAAAAAATTAGAAGAAGTCCAGCGTGCAGATTTATTGAACCATGAAGTTCCATTAAATAAACCCAGTGATGAGCAAAAGGAAGTGAGTGGTTTCCATGAATTCACTTTGAAAAGTGACAATTTTTTTTTTTAGATAATTTTTTGGAAAGAAGAGGCAGAGAGGTGGCGTTCAGAATGTGAGGTGCTTCGGTCTAAACCTCAGTCAAATGAACAGTTAACAGAATATTATGAATCTCAATTAAGAGAAATATTGGAGACAAAACAAGCAGCTGTGGCAGAAACTAAGACCTTATGGGGCGAAAATGTAGCCTTATATTCACAATTAGACCATCTATTAGTGGTAAATAAGGACCTAGAAAATAGTTTGGAGAAAAGTAATGAAGAGCTATTAACTACTATAGAAAATTATAAAAGTCAACTAGATGCAATGACTGAACATTTAGCCGCCCAAAATGATAAAATTACAAAGCAGTGTGATGAAATTCAAGCACTGAAACATAAAATTGCAAGTAAAAAATGAGCAATTCCTAAGTAAATATAAAAATAATTTATATTATGAACACTGTATAAAATGTAAGGAAAATGCAATTTATTTAAGCTAGTTATATTTATTTACATATTTGCAAAAAAGTTAATAAACAATGCACAATAAAACTGTTAATCTAATCTGACGGCAAATGACGCCCCACAGGAACAGCCTTGTTCAGCCAATGGGTTATTTACAATTCTAAATGACGATTTAATTAATTCTTCTCGATAGTCCACCGTTGCACCCTTAACAAAGTCCAAAGAGGTCTGGTCTATCACAATTTTCGCGCCCTCTTTTTCAAACACTCTGAAAATTCATATTTCGGTATTATTCACACATGTAACAAAACTCACTTATCGTCTTCATTAATCTTTGAATCCAAGTCAAATTTGTACTGAAACCCTGAACAACCTCCACCATCAACACTAACTCGTAAAAATTCAAACGACCCTTTTGTAATATTTTTCAGGCGTTCAACGCAACTGTCCGTGATTATTAGTTCCGGCTTTACATGTTCCAGTGGTTTTATTACCGGTTTAGAATAATTTCGGTATAGAATATTTTTAACACTACGAATTTCTAACGGAATAAACCGTCTCGTAATTAACGACATTGCAAATTTGAGGTTATATTTTGACCAGCAGTTTTGACATTCAAGAACTGTCAAAAACGTTCTCTTCATGAAACATAGGTTATATTTTTCTAACCTCACGCATTCACGTTTTCTTATCACAAGACTAAACTTTTCGAATATAATAATCGTCACCATGGTTGAAGAACAAAGACAAAGAATTGAGCAAGAAATGACCAAAATGGTCAACGAATTGGATCTCCAGTACTTACGAAAAATGCAGGTACGTACTTTTCATTATACAATGTATGATTTTAACCAGAATTTCGCAGGCAGATATGCATCGTTGTGCTGCCAAATGCTGTGATAACCGCGAACTGTCTTTAGAAAGTGTTCAAAAGTGTGTTGAAAACTGTGCGTCTCCGCTTAATTACGCCCAAAATTATGTTCAAAAAGAACTTGAGCAGCTACAGAATAAGTTACAGCGGTGCGTAATGGACTGTAATGACGACATTCGCGTTAAGATGGGACCCAACCCAACTGAGGCTGAGGTACAAAAGCAAATTTTCCAGTCATTGTTTAAAAAAGTGTTTTCAGATAAGCAAATACACTGCCCTTTTTGAAAGCTGTGCGAAAGACTGTGTGGATAAACAACTTGCGTATATGCCGTCGTTATTGAAGAGAATGAAAAGTGAACTAGGACGAAATCAGTGACTGGTTGTTGAATAATTCTAGATGGATTTTTAGTATAGAATTTATTAAGTAAAGTTCATTTGCTAACTGTTTTAACTGGTATCCCTCTAGCTACTACTCCAGCTTTAGTGAGATAAAAAGACAACTGACTAGATTTTTTTGCAGCACTTAAAGCTTTTAGCAATTCAGGTTCATGGACTTGTTGATTTAACAACTCTGAATGTTCTTCTTCACTTCTGAAATGGACTATAAAAAGTGTGTTATGAACCTGTTGAGTATTAACAGTACCTATTTCGCCTTTTCTCCACTTGGTTTTGTCCAAATTCTTCCAGTGAACCTTACCTGGATTAGGAATCCACGTACTTAAAAGCTCTGTTGTTAATATATCTGTGTCAAGATCTGTTACTTCCCAAAGATTGCCAATTATGCAAGGGCTAAAACAACCAAAAATAAACACAAGGATTAAAAATAGCCACAAATTACCTGCAGGCAATCAAATACATCTGATAACTACTGTACATTTCAACTTGTGGACTCAGTATATTTAGCTTCGTGCTACTGCATCCAAAAAGTAAAACAATTGCGTTGATACGCATTCTCTCAACCTTATTCATTGGGAAGAGGTGCCAGCCTCCACCGTGACCGTTATATCTAATAAAAAAAGGCGAATAAATAAATACCAACTGAGAAAAAACTTACGCAAAAGTTTCGCTCGACACCAACATTTTCTCAAACCGTTCTTCAGTAGGTTTGCAACCAAAAACACCTTGCCAAGTGGGCAACCAGTATTCATAAAAACTAAGAATGCGATTTTGCATACCTTTCAAATCTGTATCAGGATTTACAACGTAGGTCCCGTTTTCTGGATTTTTTACGATTTTAAAACCATTCTTAATTGAATCTTTATATTCTTGAAATAAAGCATAGGCTAGATGTAGTGATGGTAGCCTTGACACTGAGACATTAGAGAGGATGTCCATCATTTCCCAGGGAAAACAATCTAAGCTCTAAAAAAAATTTCTCAAGTTGGGTGTGAATATAAAGTGCAAAAATATTACATCATCAAGAATCAGGATTAAAGGATGCCTTTTTTGTTCACTTAATGAAAGCTTATTTGATATATTTCTAATAAATTGTCCCAGCTGCTTTTGTAATTTTTTGTCTGGAGACAGAGTTTGTAAGGCACTTTTAAGTTCCACTAACTTGAGATAGTGGGCACTTTTTATTAAATACTGCACAATGGTTTGCATTTTTTCAGTTAGATTAAATGAAGGGGCCCTAGAATATGCACTATTACAATAATATTGTGACAATGCAAACCAAATTACTCAGTTTGAAAGAATTCTTTGATATGTTTCTCCACACTTATGCCCAAATTTTTATCCACATATTTTCCAACCATGAAACATTTCCATTCTTTTAAATATAAATCTTGTAGGTCCTTAACTAGCATCTGTAAATTACGATTTATCAACGGTAAAAACTCAACATCACGTTACTTTTAGGCGATCGTCAATGGATTTCCGCCTTGCATAGTAATTCTGTTTTTCAGATATCCCTTTAAAGTGAGTTTGTGTCTTTGAAGATATTAACGTATTTCTATTATCATGCATAATTGAGTGAGCTTCATACATCAGCTCCACAGTAGAACCTGTAATCTCATCTATTGGTTTTTCTACTTTAACACAAAATGGTTTTGGTTGATTTTGTCCACAGTTAAAAACTGTAAGGGTTAAGGAATTCGTACAGTGTCTCTTTATAGAAATATTTTCATTTTCTTCAGCGTTAAATTGTGGGGTCAACTGTATTAATGTCCATTCTAAAAGACAAAAAACAGCATATTGAAATTTAATAAAATGTGTACATACCTGCTGGCATCTCCTTAATTTTTTCAAGCATATTATTAACATTATCCTCGACCTTACTATTTGCACAATTTGACGACATATTGTTTTTACATAAAGATACGCGTACTTTATTGTTTGATCCTGAGCACGGATTACCCCCTGAGGTTAAAATCTTCTCATATCGTAGCACCGCTTTTAAACGTAGCCCCGGCACGTGAGACTCCACTAAGTGATATATTGCTTGTAATTCACTCTCTTGCATACAGTTATATGCTTTAAATTTTTCTAACTCTAAAATTGTGTTATGTTAACTCAGAATATCGTTTATCGTTACAACATACTTTGGTGAACAGGACCTGCCACACAGTGAACATTTGAAATCTTTCGGATTACATCTGCGATTTCTTCGCTACTTTCTTCATTTTCCATTTCTATTTACTTAAAAATACAAGTATTGTAATTAAAAATTTAAACCGTATTTGACAGTTAGGAACTAAACGTCAAATTTGAATTTCACGCGCTGCCAATAGCACAACATTCAAAACCCTAAATTTTGTTCCCCATTTAAAAACAAAATAATGAAACTAATCAACTTCAAGTTTTTTATTATATACATGAAGACAAAAGTAAACGATTTTATCACCTTAGTCTTATTATAAAAGAACTTTATCCAGGAAAGACCCAAAACATAATCCTGCCACATTTGTCGGTCTTACAAACATGTCTTCAAATTTATCCAGGCAAGTAGCTTTACCTAAAATTCCTGGTTACATCAATAACACTTACATTGGATGTTATCTTACATTCAGCAACTACACGTCTCTCTGAAAAAAGGCCCTTCTCTTCAGTCTTTAGTACGTAAATATCAACACATCCAAGTGCTTCCAAGATCTTAAAAATAATACCTTTGTTATGTTACCAAAAATTGTAACGCGCTTACCTCTAGTAATAAATACATGTCTACAGGTTTGATATAATGGAAATGTTCACACAAAACCATGAATGGGATGTTGGGAAAATCTGTACAACGACAAAGTATTGAAGCTAACCACCCATGGAAAACTTCGTCGTTTATAGAACCGTCCAAATGAGTCCAGGGCTTTAGTTGCACTTTTCGCGGATCCGACGATCTACAAAAGGATACAAGTTAAAAATTTCGTTGTAAAAAACACAAAAATGTACAGTATTTTTTCTCCAATCATATTCTTCAGTTTCTTCTCTATTTCTTGTTTCTGCTTCGATTCCAGCATTTCTCTCTCCTTTGGACTCAACAAAAATGTTTCAACTAACCATTCAGACTGGTACTCATGATAGACATAAACAATCGAGACCACGCCTGTTCTTAAAATCACATTTATTTCGTCCAAAAAGTGTAATATATCCACAAGACTTAAACTCATCTTATGCTCAAAGTTAATCTAAAACATTTGATAAGTATAAGCGTTATAATACATTTTGAAACAACAAACTTACTTTTAATTCCCTACCAGAGGTCCCAAATTCTTTCTTTTCTCTTATAAAATTAACCATGTCTTCTACGACCTTAACATCATCTTCGGATCCACCTCGACTTCGTATATACTTAATAACACGATCCAACTGGCACGGTCCGACAATGCTGCAAATTACAGTAATAATTTAAAAAAATATGTTTTGAATTTTACTAATACTTGTCTGTTTTCTGTTTAACAACTTCAACAATCGAATCATCCGTTAATTTTTGTATCACATCAAGTTCCATCATTTGTTCTAAATCTTCAACCACAAACTCTTCCAACTTTGGATACTGCATGACAAAATGGTCTTTCATTCTCTCAATCGTTTCCACATCTGTATCCAAGTGTGGAAATCTATCTTCATTCAACAACATAATTAAATCAGTAATGTGAGGAATCTTCCGTTCTTCAGAGTTTGCAACTTCTGACATTATCCCTTCTTTGATTTCTTCAAGCGAAGGAAAATCGCCCTCTTGTGCTTGCTTTATGGAATGTTCCATTCCACTAGCGTAATTCTTAGTGAAAAGAGGCTTCCGACCGCCACTAGTATCTTCATCTTTTTCAATTCGAACTTCATCCCAAACTTCAGCTTCCCACAGTTTGAACACTTCTTCAAAAGAACTTTGGTCCTGCTCCAACTGAGACTGATGGATGTTTTGTATCGCAAAAACTATCTTCGAAAGACTAGTCATAAGCTTCTGGTGGTCATCCACCACATCATCTTCAATTTCGTCAACAAAACGCCTCAAGTCTTCCACCGAGATGCTGGTTTCTGCGAATTTCTTCAAATCGACGATCATCAGAAAAATATAGTTACTAATTTCCAAAATACTATTACTATCGAGCATTTTCCTGAAGCACATGTCGAGATTCCCCTCCAGCAGATACGGTACTCTGAAAATCAAATGCCGGACTTCGTCTTTTATCTCGTCGATGTTTTTTTCCACTTGATGGGGGCTCTCTTTATCTACCGATGACAGCGAACTTTTCTGGGGTCCGTTGTTTTTTCGGTATATTTGATCCAGGTAAATTTGGAAGCGCTTTGCCAGTTCTTCGATTACTTCGCTGTGATCTTCAATTTCTGGATTCATAATTATCCCCATTTCGGGAACGTCAAAAACGAAGTTGATTTTCTCCCAGAAGCTGTTCAGTTCGTTGCACTCCAAAAACTTGGGTACTTCGGCCCCGGTTTTTCTTGTAATCAAGGCGGCGAAGTTTTTGAAGCCCCGTTTGTACATTTCTGGTGTATAGGAGGGTGTTTTCATGACGTTGTAAACATGCGAAAACTTGATTGGGCTCGGCCAGGGATTGTTTATGGTTTTGACCTCGGCGCTTTTGTTGTGGACGAAAAATTGGTGTTTCTTTAAACTGATTTCAGCGGCTCGCACGAGATCATCTTGGAACTTTTTGTATATCCGTGAAAGGAGTAGAATCCATCCACTGGTGTTTTTTCTGCAAGCCATGGAACAATGCACAACTGACTTAATCGTGTCTTTAGTTATATCTTCGACGGTTTTAGGGGCGGTGTAAATAATGGCGTTGGTTGTATCTTCACAGCTTTGTAAAAGCGGCTCGAAATCCGCTATATTAACATCGGAAAAGAAATCGAAACTCGTAAAGTAATCCAGGAGTAGTAATTCCACTTCCCTTTTATGTTTACAAATGTACGACATTAAATAAACAAACGCGATGTAAATATGGGTATCGCTTAATTTTTTCCCGTTTTTGTACCGATTGTGGATTTGCTCGAAATATTTAGAAATTGAATCTGAATTCAGAAGATTCTCAACGTTCGTCTCCATGTTTTTTAAAATTTCATCGTGAGTCAACAGGACGTAGATCCTCCTCTGGATCGCTCTCGCTGTTTTATTTTTACTCGGTGGGTGAATCTGGTGTAAAACATCCCTTAAAATATTATACGGAATAAACTGTTTTTTGGAAACAGGGCAAAGAAAAACACACGCGATTCTGCAATAACGCAACAATTGATCTTCTTCTTCCGTCCAAGTAACCTTTATTCCCGGATTTTTCTTCATTATTGAACGATCAATAGCATCATAATACTCCCTCATCCTCTTTTTCTTTGGTGCTGTAATTTTCCTCATAAATTTCTTCTTCGAAAATCTTTTCACCTCCGTCGGTTTCGCCACCTTTTTCTTCGACTTCTTCTTTAAATAGATCTTACGTTCGGGAGGACCCCCTTTGGCGACAAGATCGTACTGAATAGCTTCTGGTAAAGCTATATCGATTTTTTCTTTTTTGACGACTGGTGCTGGAGGTCCCTTTTCCTTGGTGGCATTCCACACCCAGTTGCGCTTAACGAAAGACCAAACAGAGGAATCAAAGCCTGCGGCACCTCTGTGATCCCCAGGGATCATTCCATTGTCATTTGACACAGCTTCATCGAATTGCTTTGCTCTCAAAGTCTCGAACATCGCAGGTTTTGACGAACACTCTTCAATTGTGACAATTTGGCCATCCAGAATTTTTCTCCTTCCGAGTTGTGTGTTCATGCAAATCCTCAACATTTCGGACCAGTAGATTTCGATATCGTTCCCCGTTTTGAATTCGATGGAGATTTTTTTGTACTTTTTGTCTTCAATGTGGTTATAGCCGGGTTTGCTGCTACAAGTGTCGAACAAAGTCGCTTTAGAATTTAGATACACGAAGATCTGATCTTTTTCTTTGACGCTGCGAGGTCCTAATTGTACTAATCCTACGTAACAGAGGTTGCAAATTGTTTCATAGATGCTGTGAAAGTACTTTCGTCTATGAAGCAGAATATTTCTGACCGTTGGTGGTAAGTACCTCAACAAGTAATGTTTCTTGATTGGGTGGTGAAGGTAGGTTTCGAGTTCGGGTATGTCGTACTGAATGTTATATAGCTTGACAAACACTGACAAAGGCATTCTTAAAACAAAATCACAAGCTAGAGCCCACCCTTTAGGTCTGTGCGTGTTCAGTGGCATACAAGGTATAAACATTTTCCAGCTGACTTCATTGCGATAGATAGGAGGCATTTCTGATATCTCAGTCGGTGACAATTTAATTTTCGAATTTTTAAAAAGTTCGAAGACTTGTTGGGTAGTTAAAGAGTCACACTCTGTCATTTCACGAATCACGTAAAACAAGTGCTCGTGCAGCACCCTCATCCTAACAAATTTCGGAGTGTAGCCATATATTTTCCCCTTGGTTTTATCAACTTTCAAACCAGTTGCCATGTGTGTACCAGCCAACTGTTTCAATTCACTAATACTATCTCGAACATCGGTGTTACTAAAAGGCGATTCCTTTTTCTTTTTTATAGAGACAGTTTTCTGGGTGTGCGAACCCCCCACGTAAAATTTAAGTTTCAAATGCTCTATATTCGACAAAATCGTACCATGATTGTGCCCTACTTCATGAACACACATAAAGCTCTGAGTTTTGGTCATGTTCTTCCCGTTCATGATAATTTTGTAGCATTTTATGTAACCCTCGGCAACCAATCTAGTGATAATTGAAACAATCGACTTCCTACAAGCTTTCTTATCGTAGCCCTCCTCTCCCTCCTCTTTTACTACATCTTTATACAAAGTCCAAACGTCGGGGACCACTTTCTGTTCATATACCGTGGACAAAATCAAGTTAGCCCGGTTTATATATCGCTGAGTAACGTTGACGTCATCGGTCGAGAACATACTACCAGGAGCACGAATTTCCTTTGGTTTCGTGGACGCGAAAACTTCAACCGTGATCTCCGCATCTTGACCACACCACTCCACGGTAGGAGTGGCACCCATATACTTCTCCATTACCACATTACTGGAAACTTGGACCTCGATTTTCGGCTCGGCTTTAGTAGGTTCGTCGTTTTTACGTTTTCTCTTGCCCAAAAAAAGCATGAAACGTTCAAACACGCTCTTTATTTGTTCAACGCAGTGGTTTGGTTTGTGACATTCGCTTAACATCGCTTCGAGAATGTAAATTTTCGAAATGGCGTCAAGGTGATAATTGTCGCTATGCGCACTGGTGAAGTTTCTAGGGATGTTAATCATCCGGTGGGGGTTGAAATGGCAGCGAATTTTACCGTCACTCGCGATGTTATTTATTGCAAAGACTATCTCGTTGTCGGCTTGGAGGCTCTCGTTTAGACACACCGTCATTAGAAAATTGTAAATGACTTTACCGAAACCGTTCTGGAATAACTGGATTGATTTAAAGAAATCTTCTCTTTTTAAAAAGAAGTCGTCCCATTCGCTCATATAGTAAGTGGATATGTTGCTCTCGATCAGTAATAATTTGTCCCGGCCTTTGCTTACGATGTCGTAGATTGTCAATTCTTCCGAGTAGGAATCAACCGTTTCAGTTAAAAATGACGTGCAGCAGAACGGTTCAAAACTTAGTTTGAAGTGAGTCTGAGCTGGGATTGGTGGAGTTTCGGGTTCGGAAGGACACTCGTATTTGCCTTGGTGGTCGTAATTTTTTAAAACTCGAGAGATCGTTTCGTCACTTAGTTCGTAAACTTTCGGCTGCATTTGGATGTGACAATCATCAACGGCGTAGCATTTTGCGAAAAACCTAGAAACATCAGATTTGTTTGTTTTTGAAAATGTTAATTATACCGGGTGTCTGGAAAATGGCGAAGTAACTCTCCGTTCTTAACAATCAACTGGTGAGTCTGGGAAGAATAGTAAAAAAAATCCTTCTCAAATTTTGATAGAGTTACAATGATTTTAAAATTGGTTCTTTTGCCAACTTTTAAAAAATAATGCATTACTTTAACAATTACTTTTTGCACTTTGAAAAATTTCATGAAGACACAATTTTAGATATTTGTTGTATGGGTCCAAAGGGTTAAGAAAAAATGTGTTAGAATAAAAAAGGCAGTGAGTGATTTATTTTACCAATAAATTTGTTACATATTCACATCAGTAAATAAAATAAAACAAATAAATATATACCTCACGCAAGACGGCTATATTCATAATTTAAATTCAATAATAACTGACATTCAAAATTTTCGTCAGCTAACGCATGATGTTTTGTCTTAAAAACATCCGCACCAACACTAAACATTGGTTACCTATTATAGATTTGGGTGGACCAGAAAAATGGCTGAAGTTTGTTTGACCACAAATTTTAAATATTCTGCCCCTGTTTACTCAATTATTTATTAAGATATTTTATTTCTGTAAAGCGCAATGGATTTTTTAATACAATTTTTACTAATGTACCTTTTTGAAAATTTAAAATTCATCCATAAATAGCAAAAACCAGACAATCTCATACTCATCACAATTTTAAAACGCATTGTAGCTTTTTTTACAACAAAATTTAAAAACCGGAAAAGCAGTCTGGGTAGGGTTTTTTACGCTCATTTTAACGGTATGAAGTTTATTACAATCGGACGTATACTTTTGGCAAAAACTTGGACACAAGTTTATATGTATTTCCTTATGCTGGAATATGTTTTAGCTCACCCTTAAAATGATGAAGAGCTTATTTATATTAAGGTTACCTGGTTTCTTAACAAATTCTGTGCCAAACCCGTTTTAGATTTTAACTCCCTATTGGGCTAATCTTCTCTTTGTGGGGACGAACCAGGTATCCCAGCAGGTCATTTAAACGATTGGTAGAGAAAAACAAAACAATATTTTTGGGTTAAAAACAATTGTAAAAGTGACTGAATTACTCAAAAAAAGCAATTCATTACAATTACTCATTGCATTTTTTTTAAGTAATGCATTACAATTACTCATTATTTGAAAATGAATTGAATTACAGTAATTAATTACTTGTAACTGAATTACTTCCAAACACATTCATTATCACAATAACTAATAATAACACTTTTAGTTGATATTTTTCTTGACCATGACCTGTTTAATTACCATTTGACAAGAATGTTTGCCTGATAAAAAGCGAAGGTAGAAATCAACAAAAATCGAGTAAGCAGTTAAAAATGTTTGACGAAATTTAAATGTTGTTTATTGCTCTTTTTCAAACTTTGACATTTGTTCAGTTGTAGTTTAATATCAGAGTCATAGAAATTGAACATTTAAATGGAATTGAGGTTAAACAACACAGAAAAACGTAGCGGAAGCGGAGTGTGCGGTTCCTTGTCGAGCTGGCCCTAGAATGAAATTGAGATAGTTCGATCGCCACACCCTTATAGCGCTCTGGTGCCGCTGCCGCTGCATGTTTTTATTAAAATTTTGTTCTCTTGTTGACTGCCACTATTTAAATTTGCCGCCACATGTCGATAATAACTTGTGTATTTGCATCCAGTTACTTGAATTCAGATTTTTCTTTGCTTTTATTGAATTTGCGATATTCAAATATTTGCATTGAATCCGAACGTTTAATTTGATTTCATTCCAAGTCATTCCAAGTTTTTTTCTTTGTATCTGGACATTAAGCGGTGTCTTCAACGGGTACAACTTATTCGCAGCTTTTTTTTCTTTTTCTTTTTTGTCATTGGAGGAATAAATAATTTTGTGTCCTCCATATATTTGGTGTTTTATTTAGCGGTACTGTTCCAACCCTGGGGTCTACCATTTGGATCTGAATGCATCCCGTCATTTTTCAAAAACATACAATTTTCAAAAATGTTTTAAATTTTTCAAAAAATGGTCATAAAATTTTCGACTGCCTTCGAAAACTTATCTAAAGAGATGTTTTTTGTAGATCTCGACCACCAGAAGTAATTTTCGGATTGATTTTCTTGAAAATGTTTGTCATTTTTCCATATTATCATATGTAGTATAGTAATTTTTAAACTTCTTAAAAAATTTTCATTTTCAAAGCTAATATTTCGAAACCTTTATTTCGGATTCATTAACACAACAGATTCTTCAAATTGGCACGTGGAAATCTATATCCTAAAGTTTGTCCTGAATATTTTTGGAAACTTTTATAAGTTTTTTCAAAAATATGTATTTCAAAATTTTCAAAAAATATCCATAAAATTGTTGACCTGTTTTAGACCACACTTGGAAACGTATCTAAAGAAACGTTTTTGTAGATCTCGACCTCTAGATGTTATTTCCAGTTTCATTTCCTTGAAAATTCCCACCATTTTTCCAAACATGCCATATGAAGTATAGCAATTTTTTGAATGTTTTAATCATATTTATTTACAGACCGAATATTTCGAAACTCTTACTCTGGGATGATTAATACGATATATCCTTCAAATTAACACATGGAGAAGATCTATAACCTAAAGTTTGTTGTGTATTTTTTGGCAAGGTTTTCAAAATTTTCAAAAATGTTTTAAATTTTTCAAAAAATGGTTATGAAAATTTTCGACTGCCTTCGAAAAGTTATCGAAAGAGATGTTTTTGTAGACCTCGGTCACCAGAAGTTATTTTCGGATTGATTTTCTTGAAAATGTTTGTTATTTTTCCATATTATCATATGCAGTATGGTAATTTTTAGAGTTCTTAAAAAATTTTCATTTTCAAAGCTAATATTTCGAAATCTTTATTCCGGGATCATTAACACAACAGATTCTTCAAATTAGTACGTGGAAATTATATCCTAAAGTTTGTCCTGGTTTTTTTGGATACTTTTATAATTTTTTTCAAAAATATGTATTTCAAAATTTTCAAAAAATACCTATGAAATTTTTGACCTGTTTTAGACCACCTTTGGGAACGTATCTAAAGAAATGTTTTTGTAGATCTCGACGTCTAGACGTTATTTCCAGTTTCATTTCCTTGAAAATTTCCACAATTTTTCCAAAAATGCCATATGAAGTATAGCAATTTTTTGAGTTTTTTAATAATATTTATTTCCAGACCGAATATTTCGAAACTCTTACTCTGGGATGATTAATACGATATATCCTTCAAATTAGCACGTGGAGAAGATCTATAACCTAAAATTTGTTGTGTATTTTTTGGCAAGGTTTTCAAAATTTTCAAAAATGTTTTAAATTTTTCAAAAAATGGTCATAAAATTTTCGACTGCCTTCGAAAAGTTATCTAAAGAGATGTTTTCGTACATCTCGACCAGCAGAAGTTATTTTCGTTTTGTTAGACGGTCGCATCCAAGGCCAAATTTTGAATTTTTTCTTTTTTTGCGGGCTTTTCAAATTTTTTTAAGTGTCAATTTAAAGCGGGGTGTTTGGGTTATCACAACGTATCAAAAATTGTCAAGGTTTTCAAAACCCGTGTTCGCAGTTCATTTTAGGTTCATTTTGGTGTTTTATTTTCGGATAAATGTAAAGGAATCTGGTGTTTTGTAGCTGGATGAACTTGCAAAAATCTTTTGAGCTTCTGGTGTTTTACGTTTTACGAATCTGAAAAAGTCTTGAGTGCCGTAGTGTTTGGGTACCCATGGTGTATTAATTTTGGAACCGACGGATTTTTTTTGTAAATTATTTAAAACAATTTTGGGGGACTTTGGTGTCCTATTTTTGGAAAATTCAAAACAATCTTGAGGTTCTAGGTATTTCTGTTTTCAAAGAATTTGAAAGTGCCTTGGAGCCTCTAGGGTCTTTTCTTACAATAGTTTAATTAAATTTCTTACAGGATACGTCATTTACTAAAATCAGTATTATCTTAGCAGGGACTAGCCCCGCCCACCCACCCTCTCTTTTCTTAGAAGCTATGTCATTTGCCAAAATCAGTTTCATCTTAGTAAGTACTGATGACTAACTTTTACAAAAAATGAACAAAATTTGGAAACATTACGAGCTTACTTATATGCACAAGGCAGGAATTTTGAACATCTCTTATGCTTTAATGGATTTTACTGTTGTTGTTTTTGTTTATAATTTATAAATGTTTTATTAAAATGTTTTTTTTGGTGTATTTATTATTGCAAAATAACACATTGTTTTAAAATAATAATGCACAATGTTAATCACTGGGTAGTAGTTGTTATAGTTATTGTCCTTGAAAAAATTAAAGGTGGATTTCAGAAGAAATCAGAAAGTGAGCCGGAGGGATTCACGCATACGTGCGTGCAGTGTTGCCAATTTCACTTTTATAAAACTTCCGAAACCCCCATATATAACGCACTGAAGAGTTAACCCCATTTTGCAGACACCCGGTATATATATTTTTGATAACCAGTACGAGTATTTTTAAACGTACTTTAAATGTCAGGTGAGGTTTCCTTAGCAAAATTTTGAGATGACGTTATGAAATTTATGGTGGGAGTAGAGACTTACTTGAGAGACTGTTGCCGCCCCAAATCGATTTTACTGCTTCTAATAACATTTCTCACGAGGAGTTTTCGTACGGCGAGTCTTACTGTATAAAAATCAGTTTTGAAATGATCATGGATCTCTTGAATTGTCACTCCAACTTGCTCAGATGACAATATATACAAAAAAATTTGACGCAAATATTCATAATTCATGACTTTATACCCCGGCGAATTATCTAAAAACGAAAAATAAAAAATCAAACATACACAAGCAACTCAAATAAATACCTGTCTTCTCGTGCGATATCTCTTTTGAATCTTTAGCATCCATAAGAGCCGTTACATTCGCGTATGGGTCTATCATTCGCAAAACCTTTACATCCCTTTCCTTCAACTTATTTTTATTTAAATATTCCTGCTTTGTAGCATTAGGGTACAACTTTCTATATGGAAAAATCTGTAACAAAACATTACTTTAAAATATCCTCAACAGTAACTCCAATATATTACATATAATTTAAAAAACTTCCTGAAATCCGCTGTCTTTATCAACTTCACAAGAGAAATATTTCGTCCAAAAATTTTTCGGAACTCGTTCAACTCGATTTGATTGTTGGGTTTTGATTTAAGAATATGGGAAACCCTTTCCATGATTGCGATCTGTTTTGTCTTGCGTTTGCGATAAAATCGCGACAGATGTATCAAACCGCCGGAAATATTTTGTCGCATGGGTAGCGATTTTAAACAGAAACTTTGGTGCGCAATCAGGTAGTGTTGTAGTAACACTTTTCTGTTGTGGTAAACCTTTTTAACGTCATGAGGTAGCGACATTTTGCTTTGGGTGAATTCACCCTGGTCTCGAGAACGTCCGATTTTTTCCAACATACAGTATTCAACGTCCTGTAGTTCTATGTTGGGGTCGGCTTCTTCGTTTATCAGGGCCTTGCTTCGCAAGGATTGATCTGCCATGAAAACTAGCTTTTGGTCATACCTATAGTTCAAAATTTAGTTTCCATTAAAAATAGCTACAAAAGTGTACACTTACAACTTAATAGCTTTGTCCACCGAAAATTTTCGGACCCCGTTATTCTCCTTTCTTGTGTGAAAAGTTGAACAAGATCCTCTAATTTCAGTGCCGTTAACTGATGCAAAGGGATAAATATCGTTGTATTCCATAAACTAAAAACATTTAATTACTATTGTCATAGTTAAAAATACAATACGTACTGGTTCAACAAACATGCCTGAATCAATATCCAAATATTTACATCGATCAAAAAAAACTAATTCGTTTCGGGGTTCCTTCAAAACGTAAAAATTTATTCTTTTATTATTGCAAATAACCCTCCAAATTTTATCCGCCACACTTTTACTAATGTAATTTGGAAATACATTTTTTAAACGTTTCCAAAATGCTGTAAATTAAATTATAAAAACAAATTACAAAACTCAGAGAAACTTACCTTCAAGGGTAATTCCATCTAGGCCTTCTAGTGCAATTTCGTCCACGATGTGAAACGCCAGGTCTAGCTTTTTAAAAGATTCATAACTGCACTTTTTCTCATCATTAAAAAATAAATCTGACTTGGAATGCACGCGATGCATTAAATACATATTTCCACTGCTGTCCACTTTCGTATAATGCAATTTATGCCTTTTCTTTGAGAAACTTTTCTGTCTTTCTGGTGCAGCTGCTTTAAATTTCGTTATTTTTGATCTCCGGGGCTTCGTTGTTTGGTCATTTATAAAATAAAACTTTCCGATTTTTTTTGGTACTGCATTATCGGTGTTGAAAACATATTTTCGTTTTCTTGAAGCCGATTTCGTAGCGGGTTTCATTGTGCACGTGCTGTCTTCAGAGCAAGGAGCCTCCAAATTGTCTTTTGGTAAATTATCTTCAGCCATGTAATCTTCTGTAGTGAACTGTTCTCTTTTAAGAATAACAAGTTCTGGCAGTGACACTGCTTTCTCCGGTTCTCGTTCTGGTGAGGATTCCATTATTTACAATAATTATTGCAATGAAGCTTGAACAAATGATGAATTAAAACACATTTCTGTAAATTTTCACCCAAATAACTAGTTTGCAATGTACACAACGTTGTAGGTTATGTCCAGTTATGTCGTTATGTTGAGAGAGGTATTGCCAACCTAACAACAAAACCTTGTTTTCTATTGTTTTTGTTTGATTTTTTTTGTTTTAGTAATTATAATTGCATTAATTGGGCTTGTTAATGAAAGCAATTCAAACAACGAATTTGCGTAAATTAAAAGTACCAATTTTTTTCTTTAAATTATTAATCGACTTCAAATCAAATTTTAAAAAAATAACCACGCCCACATAACCTCTACCCACTTGTCAAAATTTTCGACGTCAAATTAAAAAACATTTTTATCAATTGACCAGTAAAGTAAGGTTAGAATTTAGAATGCGCGGCAGTTCATAATTCAAAAATTCTACTATGGGTTTCTTATGGGAGCTTGATTTTACAGACAAAATACACCGCACAGGTAGAAATCTTAACTAGTTCATGCTACAAGCGATAAAAACTGTACAATTATCTTCCTGTTACTAAAGGTTTAACTGTATAAAAAGCTTGTGTTAAAGAAATATCGCAAATTAAAAACAACGTTGTTCATCAAAGTAACGTACATCGTTTCTAATGCCTTGCGCATGAGTGAAACGGAAAATCCAGAAACACGCCGAACAGAAAAGGAACGCGAATATTTTGGAGGGCTAGTGACGTTTAGATCGTGAAAATCCCCAAAATATGACAGTTGATTTCGTATTTTCATCACAACAAACAATCATAATCACAATTTTTGGATGATATATTAGTTCTGTGATATTGGTTCACATTAGGTTGTATATGTCTGTGGACTGGTTTTATTGTATTTGTTATTAATAATGACAGAAAGACATGTGTTAACAATAGGGGCAATTACCAGTTTTTTTTTTTTTGTTGACGATCGGAAATGCATTGTGAACGGAGAAAATTCTTTGCAGTCAAATAATGCAGTGAAAGTCACTTGGTATACTGAATTAAATGTGCTTGAAGAGTTTATTCGAGCTAGAATGCGAAATAGCCAGGTATAAGGTTATGGCAAGTTAATGTATATTGATAAATTCTGTATCAAGTACAATTATGAGCTATTTTGTTTTATTTTGCATAGATATTCCTTAAGTGAGGCAACATGTGAAACCACAAGAGGTGCATTTGTATGTCACCATATGGCTACACCTGCCCTACACGGGCGTTATAATGTATTTTGGACCAATAATTTGCGTTCTTGGGATATACATCTGAAGAAAAGTGAATCAGCCAAGGTCAGAGCTGTGATCTCTGAAAATTCTTTTAATCCCCAAGTCAACCTAAAAACAGCCAATGTTGAGGTACAACTTTATGAAAGCTTAACAACCTTATGGGAGCGAAGCACTGCTTTGGCTATTGGGCCCTGAACCAGAAAGATCTGAAGAAAATCTACTTCACAGTGTCGAAGAACTATTAGTGTCCGAGGACTATTTAAATGGCCCATCAATATAACAGTTTGTGGGTCAGTTTTTCACCAAAAGTGAATTAGATTTTGCATAGGGCGGTGCAATTTTTTATTGTAGAATATATTTTTTTTGTTTTGAAATAAATTGGTCTTTAAATTGTGATTTTTTTTAAATGGGTGTTTCAGACCCAATTCGTACTAAAATGAAAGTGATTTTTACTTGTACATGAAAGGTTTAATCACGAATGCTAAGTTTTTCATTTTCTACCAAAAAGTGTGAAAAGAAAAAAGCTTGGGATTGATGATGATTCTTAAATCAAAATTTGGCAATTGATTGAAAACATTTGCAAATAGGAGATCTCCTTTATGTATTATTTTAAATTCACAGCCGTATCTCTAGCATGTGAAAATCAAAGCCATTTATGTGGAGGGGGAAGTCAATGGCAGTATGAACCACTGTGCGACATACGTTAGAGGCAAATGTAGTGGTAAAAGTTGAATTCAAATATTTATTAAATACCACCGGTTCCGTTCGTGTTTGGTATCAAGATCAACAGTAAAAATATCAGTCTTAATGGTACAAGTAGTGGTATATATAAGAAAATTACTTTAATGGTAGAATTCAAGCGTTAAAATGACGCCTCGATTTCACCCATAAGGATTACACGGGGAACTGAAATTCGGGTCTCGTGTTATGAACTGAGTTCAAATTTCGCGCGTCATTCACTTTACAGGTCATATTACACCCAAAAACAAAAAATCCGTATCCAGTAACATATTGTGAAGAAACCTGACCGGTGCGGTGCGGTCGTGTGGTAGTGCTGTCTGTGATTTAGTAATTTTCACTAAGATATTATTAACAATTTCATTTTATTTGGAGCCAGTGTGGGGTGTAGTGGTGTGGACCATCGGGAGAGCGTTGTGATATCGGGGGTGACCCCTGTTTGGGGTGGTATATGGTTCATTTTTGGATTTCTGGTGATTCCGAGTGAGACGTTATCTTATCAGCTTTTCTTTTTGTCTAATAGTTCTTATTACTGTGCGCTCGCGACCTTGCCCTATCGAGGGGACAGTGTGAGCGCAGTGCTGTTAACTTGGTGCGGTGTTCATTAATAATACTCTAAAACACGAAACTCTCAATTTTTTTTTTTTTTTTTTTAAATAAGTATGGCTCTTAAATGTGCAAAATGTAATCGGACAGTCAATACAAGTACTGAGAACCATGTTACTTGTCATAGGGACTGTAAGGGTAGTTTTCATTTAGTATGTGCTGGTATCTCTGAAGAGACTTACGACGGCTTAGTTGAGTCGGGAAATGTTGAATCATGGACGTGTACCGCATGTTCTTCAAAATTTTTGGAGGCTAAAGCAGCTGTTAATAAAAACCCCTCTGTTTCTTCGCTGAATACCTATATTTCGACTGATCAGTTAAAAAATATGATGAATAATATAGTAAAGGAACATGTAGATAACATTTCGCAGCTATTTATCGAGCATATTGGTGCTTTAACTCTTATTAGAGTTACTAAACTTGAGTTAAAAATTAGCGATTTAACCAGTGAAAACATTATTCTTAAGTCAGAATTTGAGAAACTTAATTTAACGTTAAAGAGCGGTAAAAATTCTGATGTACAAATATCTAAGGGGGTAAATAAGGATGAATTAAATGCCAAATTATCGTATGCCGAGTCCTTGGTAAAAAAAGTCTCAGAAAACTGTAATTGTGCAGCCTAAAGATAAAACTCAGTCGGTTTCAAAGACTAAATCAGATGTATTAAACGCGATAGATCCTCTTAATTCTTCTTTAGATACTATTGGGAGAGTAAAACCACTCAAGGATGGGGGACTGCTGCTTGGGTGTGAAAATACTAAATCGTTGAAACAAATTGCTAAAGGTAAGTTTGCTGATGACTATGAAATTCGTGAAGTTAAAAGTATAAGACCAACAATTAGAATAACTGGTTTTTCAGATGATATTGATGAGGATAACTTCTTGTTATACCTTAAAAAACAAAATGAGTCTATTTTTGATGTTAATTCGAGTGTTAATTTGTTAAAACTGAGCTGTACAAAAAGAAATAATACTGTATATCAAGCCTTAATTGAAGTCGATTTGTACACATATAAAAGAGCATTGGGCGTGGGTCACTGTCTTATTGGTCTCGATGGTTGTTCCATCTATGATGCTGTCGAAGTAACTAGGTGTTACAATTGCAACAACTACGGTCATGCATCGAAAAATTGTAAAAATAAAACTAGCTGCCCAAAATGTGCCGGAGAGCATAAACTTGTTGATTGTCGGTCTGATAGTTTTAAATGTTGCAACTGCTCCAAATATTTAGAAAGTTTAGCGACAGATGAATTTGAAGTTTCTGATGTTACGTATGATCATGCGGCTTGGGACTATAAACAATGCACGTTATTTAGAAAAACCATGGATAAAATCAAGTGCGACATTTTCGGCTCCGCCATATAGCAATCATTGGAGGATCCCACTTTATTAGGTACCGTTTCAACTAATAATAATTCTACTGCTTCAATCACTTTACTATCTTCGTTATCAAACTATTACCAAAATGCCCGAGGTATAAACTCAAAACTAGTCGAACTTTTCAATTCTTTACTAACTTGTAATTTTGAGCTCATAATTCTCACTGAAACGTGGCTTACTGATTCTGTGGCTAATTCAGAATTTTGTCCTGACAATTTTGAGATAGACAGATCTGATCGTAAATTTAATAAAACTACTCTTACCAGAGGTGGTGGGGTTCTGATAGCAATGCGCAAATATTTCTGTGTTTTGCAGATTGATCTGTCCCCGCATGGTTTTGATGAGTTGCATTTAATTGACATTGTGGGGGTAAACCTTACATATACTTAGATATGTCTCTTTCTACATTTTGGTAATTTATGTTCCGCCCAAAAGTCATCTGTTGATGATTATATCTCATTATTTAATTTGCTCGGTAATCTTGCTGATTTATGGAATGATCGTGTGGTTATCATAGGTGACTTTAACATTGCTGAATATCATATTGGTTTAGACATGGCCGACTAGTATAAAGATTATGGCCTGTCCAAGAGGTACATAGATAAATAATACTACGTAAATAGAATGCAAACTCCCACTTGATTTTTGGTCTCAATAAACGCCCCCTGGTGCCTTGTGGCCGGTGCTAAAGCATGAACTACTAGATGCGTCATTGCTGCATATTTTATAATTAATATTTTATTTTTATTATCACTAATAATATCAAAAACACAAAGTAGAATAATATACAATTTATTAGTATTGTCTACGATTTTTTGACTTTAATTTTTTTTGGTACATTATACAAGCGTTTTGATATAATGCATTTTTATGTGTGGAAACTCTTGTATCGCGACCGCTTAAAATTAAATTCAAACCTTTTACAAACGTAAAAATTGTTAACTATATAATTTTATTACATATTTCACTTTCAATTAATTCCTTATGTTCACAATGAAACGAAAATTTGACATGATGAGATACTATAAACGAAATTTTGTTTTTGATGTTGTCGAAAGATGTACAATTGTTTAAAACGATTCTTGAAATATTATAAATTCTGTTAATGTTTTTTATAAAATCTAACTTACAATATTGCAATTTTCTGTTATTACAATTGTATTCTCTTATACGTATTAATTTGTAACATTGTTCGTCTTCCGAAAAATTGTTTAAAATTTGGGTTTTACAATATTCACACTTCAAATTTCTTAATGTTTTCGCAACCCAGCCAGACACATAACCAACAATACTTTTATGAAGATCTTTTTCTAAATTATATGGAGACAGTTTTGAAATGTACATATTCACGTTTAAAATTTCGTAACTCGTTTCATTTACTGAAGGTTGATTTATGTTTTTATCCACAAGTCTTTTAATATGAAATAAATCCGGTATGTTCGTTTTCTCACAGTTTGCGCCCACTGAATTTGAACTATAAAAATTGCGTAATAATAGAGATTTGAAACTTTCCTTAAATTGGGCTGCCGTTAGATTAGTTGCTCGATTTCTTTGACTTCTGATTTTGCCAAAATAGTTTTCAATAACATCTTGATTTAAACATCTAGGTAAACAATATTTGCACCTGCCCTGTTCTACTAAAATTGTATGTAAATCCACAAAACCTTCTAACGTTGCAATCCAGTTTTTTATACACGGAGGTACTACCATTTTTCCGGCCTCATCGACGAAATACATATCACCCAAAATTTTGATAGCTTCCTTCCAAAAATGTTTATGACCAGAAGATTTAAATACGCCCCCAGAAAATGGTTTTCCGCACCATGGTTGAAAAGTACTGCCATTTACACTGTCGAAGAGCTTGTCAAAAAATTTTATAATTCGTGCTGTTCCCATTGCCTCGTGTGTTAAACTGCATTCGGCTGTAAAATTAAATTGTAAATGAATCTGTTAATTATTTTTAAATTTGTATTTACTAGATTTAACCAATAGCGTAATAGTCGATGCCATTGAGTGACTCAAAACTTGTGTCGCATAGCACACCTTCATCTTTTGAATTTTTTCCGGAATTACATGGAGATCCGTAATTTTGTGTAGAGCCCGTAATTCTCCACATGTTTGATCACTGTAGTACGCATCGATTATATGTTTCCAATTTGCAACCAAAATTTCCTCGCTTGTTTTCCACACTAAATTTTTAGTAAGCAGATTGTTCCTAATACATTTAATTAAATGAGGCGTGTCATATAAGGGAATAATTTCTTGATCCCCTAATAAAATTCTTCTTTTAGGTTCCATCCCTTTATGTATATAACGTTGTTTCGACTCCTTTAGCAGAGAATTTATAGCTGCTTGGTTTGGTTGGCCTTGATCACAAATTGTAACCAGAATTTTGAATCCACAATTTTGTATTTTTTCAACCAGAGTTTTTATAATAGTTGTCAATATGTAAGATTTTGTAGACGAAAAAGAAAATGCAAAGTATATTGGCTGTTGCCATTTTTTAAACACTCCGCGAATGAAAAAAACAAGAACATGATCTGCTATCTGTAAATTTTGTTCAAATCCAAAATTTTGAAATCCGAAAAATGTATCCGTATATTTGTCATAGTCTATGTGGGGCATTATGGACATTTCATCAAAAATTTCAAATCTGTACGTTCAGAAATAAAACGTGATGTCAAAATTGCCTATCGTGATTACATCTCCGATTTGGAAAATAACATAAAAGCCAATCCTAATAAATTCTGGACACATATAAGTAGACTTAAAAAACAAGGGGGTATACCGTCCCAAATGAGTTATAATAACAAGGTACTCTGTAATCCTGCAGATATAGTAAATGCATTTGCAACCCATTTTAGTTCAGGTTACACTGACTGTAAAGCCACAAATTTGGATGAATTCGTATGTGAGTCTTACAATGATCTTATACAATTCAGCACGATAACTGAAGCAGATGTGTTTAAAGCGCTAAAAAAATTAAGTGTAACTTAACGAGTGGTCACGATAATATTCCGGGTTTTTTATTATCTGATTGTGCTTCGGTGCTTTCTCATCCCTTATCAGTCATCTTTAATTTAATAATAAATTCTGCCATCTTTCCCGATATCTGGAAACATTCTATTATTTCTCCAATTTTTAAGAAAGGGAGTAGAAATACAATTGAGAATTACAGGCCCATTTCGCTAATTTGTAACTTTGCCAAAGTTTTTGAATTTGTTTTACATAAATTTTTGTTATTTAATGTTCGTAGTAAAATATCTGATTGTCAACATGGATTTGTAAGTAACCGTTCCACCATATCTAACCTCTGTGTATTCACACAGTTTGTTTCAGAAAGCTTTGATGCTATGCTTCAGGTTGACGTGGCCTATACTGATTTTTCCAAGGCCTTCGACAAACTTAATCATGATGTTTTGCTGGTTAAATTAAGTAATTTTGGGTTTTCTGCTTCATTACTTTCATTGTTTAAATCGTATTTATCCAATAGGACTCAGTGCGTTAAATATAATGGTCATGTGTCAGATAGTATTTCTGTCTTGTCTGGAGTGCCTCAGGGTTCGGTTCTTGGACCTCTTTTGTTCGTGATTTACATAAATGACATCGCAAAGAGTATTAGTTCAAACATTCTTATGTACGCGGATGATTTAAAAATTTTTAGAACTGTTTCGAGTACTAATGACTGCCGGATGTTACAAGATGATCTGCAGAAATTTCTATGTTGGAGCAATTGTAACTTTCTCCCGGTTAATTTTGACAAATGCTTTATTATGTCATTTACTAACAAAAATATCCAAACCTTGTATCCCTATGATCTCAATAACACCATTTTGACTAGAGTTGATTCTTTCTGTGATTTGGGAGTCACTTTTGATTCCAAACTCTCTTTTGTAAATCACATAAATAATATATGTGCCAATGCTCTCAAATCACTCGGTTTTATACTAAGATGTGGCAGTAGTTTTAGTGACTTTGATTGTTTAAAAATTTTATATTTTGCTTATGTGCGATCCAAGCTTGAATATGCAAGTGCTGTTTGGTCTCCATTTTCTTGGATTCATATAGACACATTGGAGAAGATTCAACGACGTTTTTTGAAGTACTTAGCTTTTAGGGCGGATGGTGTTTATCCACCAAGGGGTTCGTCCCATATTACTCTTTTAAATAAGTTTGGGTTTAAAGATTTACATTGCAGACGGACTATTGCATCGTTGAATTTTCTAAAAAAGTTGGTTCATTTTCATATTGATTGTCCGGATCTTTTGAGTCGATTATATTTGCTTGTCCCCAGATTGTCATCTCGTTCTCATGATTGCTTCTATTTGCCTACTCCTCGCTTAAACGTTGTAAAACACTCACCTATATACGAGATGTGTACTTTATACAATTCGGAACAGAATGCATTTGATATATTTAAATAAATAGGTTTTTTCTTTGTATATGTAGCTACATTCAGTTTGTTTAACTTTGCCTTCGTGGGTTTAGCTGTTGGTCATATATTTTGCTAAGGTGGTCAGTAATTGGGCTATTGCCTGTTGACCATCACTGACATAATAATAATAATAATAATAATATTCCTCACTAAAGCCTTCCAGAATGATTATTTAAAACTACTAAGACGGCCCCTTGAGAACACAGCTACTTTTTAAGGAAAACACCCCGATTTTCAAGGGTTAACAGAAAAGCAGAAAAATCGTGAAAAGACTCCCGTTTTTTAAGGTATTTTTTAAAATTAACATTTTTTTAAATGGCCCCCTCAGAACACAACACATTTTTAATGCTTTCAGCCTGGTTTTCAAGATAACTTTTAAAAAGTTAAAATTATTAAAGAATTTCCCCGGTTTTTCGAAGTCACCCTTTTTTAAAAAGTCAAAATTTTAAGAAATATATCCTGTTTTATCAAACGTGAATACGGTTTCGGCCAAGAAAAGTTACCATTTAAAAACACTTAAAATTCGTCTTTTAACCCTGTTTTTTCTGTTGGGGGCATTTCAGCATATATGAATACGGTTTTGGCCATGCAAGCTCGAACAAGCCCTCATGAGCAAACCGAATTCACCGTCTTGTCTTGTTTTTTTAAAGTATATTTTAAAATGAACATTTTTCAAAGATTTTATACTGTTTAGAATTTTGTACTAGTAGGCCCTCTCAGAACACTTTGTTTTTTTAAAAATTTTGACCTTGTTTTCAAAGGTATGTTTAAAAAAACAAAACTATATGGGCTTGTTCTGCACACACCATTGTTTTATCAAATCTACCCCATTTTTCAAGTTACCATTTAAAAACACTTAAAATTTACCTTTTTGGCCCTGTTTTTCTCTTGGGCCGCTTATGCATTCGATTTTGGCCAAGCAAATTATTAACCTTTGAAAACGTTAAAAAAAATTAACAAAAAATAAATAAATCATATTACTAAAAATCAATTTATTATACCCATATACGTCTATGATAAATATGTATTTATTATGATTCGCTTTTTGACGCTAGCATCGTCTCCTGTGTTGGTGAAATTGAAATTTCGGACTCACTGGATGAAGGACTTCCACTTGACTCTGATGATGAGTCCTCGGGTGAGTTTAAACTTCCAAGAGCTGCTTTGAAGGCATTTAAGTCAGCGACACTGTAAAATCTTATCCTTACAAACATTGCAATATCTATAACAATTTCGACTGTGTCGATATCAATGTCAGCAATCTCTTGCACTGGCGGGCGAACGTTGTTGATAGTAGTAGAAGCTATTGTCAGCCTTCTGTGGCTGTCAGAGACTGTGAGTTCCGTTTCTCCAACGTTATTGATCGAAATAATTGCAGGTCGGTGAAACATTTTAGCGTTCTTCTTTCGATTTAATTGGCACGACCTTAGTTCGTCAATTAAACGAGTATCAACGCCAAACCGCATTTTTTTAACCATTGTTTTTTTCTGGAACAGATAAATAAATGCATAAAAAGTTGTGTACCTAGTGTATTCAGCCACATAAAATAGGACAGCCGCTTCCATGAGTTTTGAATTAAATAAACCACAGAAGAAACCATCAAAACACACAAAAATTAATAACAATTCTCCTTACCTTATTTTGTGTTCTTCAATAAACTCTGTGCAATCAACTAATGCAACTAATGTTCGATGAGAGGTGCTGAACTGCTGACGGGAATATCATTTAGGGATTTGGTTTAGGGAGTTTTCTTTTTACACATAATTACGTTGGCAAACAGATCCGCACACCAACCATTGACGTAATACAATGGACAGATCATGTGCATTTGGGATTCTAAAATATTATTTATACTATCGGAGTTAATCTTTTTGGACGTTTCATAGTTTAATGTAAATCCTTTTATTTTACAAACAACTCCACCTGTATTAGTCTTATAACAATAACTCTTTGGACCTGTTGATACCCAGTCAGCTATCCATACATCCTTACCTAACTCATCGGTCCAATCTCCCAATAGACAACCTGTTTTAACAGTGTTTTTATTTTACCATTATCTATATATACAATGCTATCTGTATCATAATATGCCACGCTTTCTCCTAATTTGTTTAACATTTCGTACAATCTTAGTCTAGCATTTGCAGTTGTAAAAGCAGCTATAAATATATTAGTATTGAAATCATTTTCTAGATAGCAACCTTTATACTTGTAATCAATTTGTAACATATTTTCGTTTAATTCATTGATATGTATATTATCAAGTCTGTCGTCTAATAAAATCTCATAAAATCTCTTAATATCTGTAACATACTCTGTTGCACCCATATTTTGTCTTTGACCGAATTTACCCCATAAGGAATTTAAACAGATTTTTGCAACAGCTCTCTTTCCAGGATTATTTTCTATTTTACCCAATTCAATACCTAGATTTTCTTTTACGGCTTTTCTATATTCCTCTTCTGATTCAAAATCATTTCTCCATTCACTTGTCTCTAACTTTATTTTCATAAATGCTTTTACATATCCTTTAAACAAATAACTCGATTTTTGTTCAAAATGCCAAACTTCATTAATAGTTATTATTTTGTATCCTTTTTCAATTGCTTTTTTTACTTCGTTTGTACACCAGGTTCCTCTGACAATTCTTTGAGATTCCGTATGAGTACATTTATCTTTTTGATTATTTAATTTTGCACACAATTGACATAATGGAAATGTTAGTTTTTCATCGCCAGATTTCCTTTTATTTTTAACAGGTAAAACAGGGTGCTACAAACCTCTTGGTGGTAAAATTGCACATTTTATTAAACCATACCATTTTGAATTATACTCCTACATATAATTCAAAATGGTAGGATGTAGGAGGTTTGAATATTTTAGTAGGATGTCCAACTGGATAATCATCATAACATTGTACTGTTGGATATAAACTACAAATATCTATATATTTCATTTTCTTTTCATTAACTTTCAGCTTTGTAGCGTTAGTTCTTCCTCCGAAGAATGCTTTTCTAGGATTAAGTTCTTCAATTTCTTTATATTTGCTTTTAATTTGTTTCATTTCTTCTTTATATTCTTTAGATTTAATCCAATTACATTCCCACATTTCTATTAAATTATAGCCAGCTTTTTTTATTTGCTCGCTTCTTTCTATTGTTTGTTCATAAAGATCTTCCATGTTGTTTTATTCTTATTATTAATAAAATTTGAACTATAACATTTTATACAACCATGCCAAAAACAACCGTGATATAGACTGTACTAGTTTTTTGATCAAAGCCATCAACTTTTGATCCACATATTCTCATTTCACCATCGTTTAATGCATGTTTTATATTTGGATTATGAAAACTATTCAACCAAGAAATTGATTGTTGAGAATATTGATCTTTTTGTAGATTATCAACAACTGCAATTGTATCTTTCTTAATATATTTTGATCTATATATAGCCATACAAACACCAGCAATTGTAATGTATCTAAAAGGATCTATGTTAGCTATTTCTAGAAATTGTTTTCTTAATTCAAGACATCCTCTTCTTAATATATCCACATCAGAATTACAATAATCATAAAGTTCATTTTTAAAATCAAATAAATAATTTTCTTTTCTTTTGTGTTTATGCCATTCTAAAAACTCTTGCCTATCTTTTATTTTCATAGAATTAACACCATAGTATTTTGTATTTGGTATTTTTCCAATATAGTTTTGATTTTCTGTTGTATTGAAAAAATGTGGAAAATAACCTTTTTTAAGTTCGTTTAGACCGAATGTTTTGGGGAAGTTTTTTAAAGGTCCTTGAACAAAATTACTACTATCAATAATTCTTAAATTAATTGATTTTATTTCCATTAACATTATTTTAGATCCATTATATATGCAGAAAGGTTTAATACCGTTTTCAACGCAATATTTTAGAATAAAGTAAGAATCATAACCTTTTCCATAATGTGCAATAGCTGTGTATTCTTTATGATCTCTAGAAACTAACCATTTACAGAAATCTTTGTTAGTCTTAAAAGAATCAACATTACCGTAAAAATCGTGAGCTATAACTAAATTGTTTGCCCGTTTCTTGCATCGCCTCATAATCAAAGAATAAATATTTTTGTGTGTAAGAGCATTTAGTTGTATTAAATGAACATCCGCAATTAAGACATTGATAACCGTTTTCGTTCTTCGTCTTTGACTCTGGGCTGACCCTGCCAGTCTTTCTTGGTATTTTAACACAATTTTCACATTCTTTACATTGATAAATGTGATATTTTACTCTTTTGTTTGTTTTATCAGGAAAAGTTACTGTACAACCTTTTCTATCACAATTTTTACAACCTTTTACTTTGTATTCTTTACCACCTTCTTTTATTTTTGTTTGACAGATTCCACCTTTTTGCCGCTTCCATTGCATATAACATTTATGTCTACGTATTTCAACCTCTTTATAACAATTTCTACATTTTTCCCAGCCACATTTGTGTTCCTTACTACCCTCTTCCATCATTTTATTACCTCTTTCAATAATTTTATTACATTTTTGGACCATTTTCGGTTTTGTACAAATTAATCTATTTCCTTCTTCAATCATTTTTTTACCTTCGTCAACCATTTTATCACCTCTTTTGAGTATTTTATTACACTTTAAGCATTTATGAAATCTTTCACAAACTTCAGAATGATTTTCTAAACATTCTTGATTAAAACAATATCTATTGCATTTTTCGCAATATATTCTTTTAGCAGAGTCTTTTTTGTGATTAGATTTGAAACACATTATGCATATTTTATCCTTTGTTTTGCATTTATGTTTATCTTTGTTTTGATATGGTTTATCACATTTTTTACAATAATAAGATTGACCATAGAAAGCTGTCATACTACCAATTGTATCAAAATGATTTCCATTTTTATATAAATATATTTTTATATCTCTTTCGGGCCCCAAATATATTATGGAATTAAAGCATTCCGCTGCTACGACTTTTATTTGAATATTTAATACTTTTTCTATACTTGCAATATCATGTAAGGTAAAATACTCTTGATTATATTCTTCAAGCTGATTACATAGCTCTTGAGCTAAAGTTGTTTGTAAATTTCTTCCCATTCTTATATATTTTAATTCATTATCATTATATTCCTTACCGAGTATAATGTTTGTATGATAAGCTAATCCAACAATAACGGCTCTTGGACAACATAATCTATCTTTATTTTTTATTTGTGTTATACTTTTCTTTGTTCTTGAGTCTTCTGCTATATTTAACAATCTTTTCGCATTAGTGGCACCTCTAGGCATATTAACTACTTCTACATTAAATGTACAAGTGTATATATCTAAATCTTCATTTGAAGTTAAGATACGTTGAATTTTGTTTAAAAAATTATCAACATCAGACGTTCTTGATAATCTGGTGGAAATGGGTGTCCAACGATGGGTGTGGTTAACTACTATATTTAATAAGTCTCCTTGTTTAAATTTTGTTTTCTCTTTTACTGTTTTAATCATATCATTCAATCCTTCTCTAATGATACTAATTTTTTTCATAATTATGTCAGAAACATCGGACTCTAACGATTCTTCTTCATCTTTCAATAATATAATTTTATAGTAAACTTTATGTGTATTCCATTTTTTGCTGTATTCAGCTTTTGTTTCTATTATTTTAAATTTAGTTTTTTTTTGAAAACTCTGTAAAATAATCATCTTCGATTGCAAAAGGTTCCTCACCAATTTTTTGTAATAATTCTGCCTTCTTCATTTTTGAGTAACCTTTGATATTCTTTTCTTTGGCGAGTTTTCTTAGTTCCTTCAACGTTTTATTTTGAGTCGATTTCTCTAATATTTCCTTCAATATTTCTTCTAAACTTGGCAATTCAATTTCATTAAGAAGTGTGTTTAAATTATCATTGTTTACATTATCTGAAATTTGTTTCAATAGATCTATTTGTTTACTATTTCTCTTTATCTTTAAGTTTAGTTTGGTAGCAATTGATTTTAATTTTTTAATACTAACCCTGCTTAATTTTCTATGCCAATCTCCAGCATCCGACTCTTCTTTTAGAATTAGCCGTATAAGAACTGATTTAGTCTTTGAGTTATATTTTGAATAGTTCTTTAAGCCCTGTTTTTTTGCAATAGATTTTAATTTTTTTAAGCTTAGCTTATTTAGTACAGATTCATTATTTGACGGTGGTGTTAAAAAATATTTATCCATCCAAGACGATTTATGAGTCGAAGATGAACTAGAAGACGATTCTGGTTCGACATCTTTATTAATTTGTTCAATTATCTCACCCACTTTTTTTAAATCCCCTTTAGTAAGTTTTACAATTTCCTCAAGACTCATTTTAAGAAGTTGATCTTTCTGTATCTCCATTTATAAGAAAAAAGTTTTTGCAAAATATTTTTTTCGAAACTCTTAAACTTTATCAATGATTATAATATGTTAGTAAGATATGTTTTGGATAGTATTGCTTTCCTACTAATTTACCGCACTTACATAATATTTTTTTACCTCTATATTGTTTATTCCAGCATATGTTACACAAAGTTGAATAACCACCTTTGCTTTTTTTATTTGGATAAAAATTGTCCAAATCTTTTTCAGTATTGCAGTTTTTACAAACTTTTTTATCCATTTATTAGGAAGATATTATTTCATAATAAATGACTCATAATACCAAAAGGGAACAGTCAGCTAAACAAAAGATAAACATAATTAGAGAGCGGAAAATATGCAGCAAAATTTTGGGAAATATGATCATATGATATGCATCAAATTTATGCAAATATGCAATAACTTTCTTAATATATGCAGAGATATGCAGTTGCATATGCTCCAAAAATAAAAAAAAGCGTAATAACCGAACTAAATTTATTTACAAATTGCAAAAACACCTTACCTTTTACAAAAAATACATAAATCACATTGCAAAGTGTTTAATTAGATCTCACTGACAAATAAATGACATTTTTTAAGATAATATTCTTATACTAAAAAATAAATATAGGTAAACAGAACGTATTAAAAACTAATAGTAATCGACTATTTAATTACTATTTTTGTAACAATTTATTTTTAAATATTTTTCGAAATATTCTAACAAAAATTTTTCCGGTGATTCTAAAGTATATATTTGTAAATAGAAAAACTGCGTACTGCGTCCACAGATGTAAAAATACTTATCGGATTAGAGCAGGCACAACAAAACACAGTTCCTTCTTGAAGAATAAGTTCAGGAAAAGGTTTAATTCATAAATTAATTTGAGTTATCTACATATTGACACACATCTCTATCGCTTTAAATACTTAAATGCAAACTCACGATGAAAAATAATAGGATAACGTCCCTTCGACCACCATAAAACATACCATTAATACACTTAAGTAACGAACAAAAATATTGAAATGAACGGTATTTCCAAAAGTAATTAGGACCCGAATTTACCTGGAAGGATGGCTTAACACCCAGTGGTTCCTCCAAACTACCATAAAACCCAGACCTTTCCCAGTTATTTGAAGCCTCAGGACAATATTTGCAATATGATTCATGAAATTTCGTCTTTCTAGAAAAATGCCGATCGAATGGCAATTTTTTTTTCAAAGTAGCACAAAAATTGATAAAAATGCAAAATATGCACCCGTTACGTGAAATATGCAGCAGAAGGCAAATATATGCAAATATGCAATTTTTTCATAGCTGTATTCATTTTTAATTAGCATGATTCGTTCACATATTAAATATCAAGACTTATATGCAAAAAATAACGGATATGCAAATTTCATAAAATCCGCTCCCTAAACATAATAATTAAAAAAGATTACACATTAACAGAATCTAGTATT